TGAAAGGGGAAGTTAATAATAATAATTATTATATGTTATTGTTATTTGTATATTTTATATATTTTATACAATATTTTTGTGATTGTTTTGAAAGGGGAAATTTAATTTTAATATCATATGTAATGTCATATTTTAAACTGCACTTCACCATCTGATCTGTTAATATCACTGCTGTCGAATCTTCCTCACGGTCTCATTCTCCCTGTGTGTGTGTGTGTGTGTCTGTGTGTGCGCGTCTGTGTGTGCGCGTCTGTGTGTGTGCGTCTGTGTGTGTGTGTGCGTCTGTGTGTGTGCGAGTGTCTGTGTGTGTGTGTGTGCATGTGTGTGTGTCAGTGCGGGCCAGTCGTATTCCGCGGCCCAGCATGAGTCAGGGCTGTAGTCGTGACACCAGTCGGGAGAGTAGCAGAGACACCAGTCCGGCTCGAGGGTTCAGTCCGCTGGGTAAGAGCCCAAGACCAGACCAGACCAGACTCCTGCGCATGTCTTTACTCACACTTCACTTATCTGAATGGGTTTGGCTTTAGGAGTTTGGATCTAAATGTTTCTCTTTCACCTTTAATTTCCCATGAAACTAGGGCTGAATGATATGACAAAAATATATGCTAATATTTTTCAGCCTTTTTATGATATTTTCATATACAGGTCAATATCAGTGTTATTTTAGCATCACTGAGATACTATTATAGTTTTAATAATTATTTTGAATTTTCCATTTTCATTTTAATTCTAGTTTAAGTTTTAGTCATTTTGTTGTGTGTTTTTGTCATATTTCTTAGTTTTTTAAATGTCTGTATAGTTTTTTTTAATATAAATTTTTAGTTACATTTTCGTTATTTGAATTCATCAAGTTTAGCTCAATAAGAATACTTGCCTTGTCAGCTAGCTGAAATAAAATGATATTATATTATATTACATTATATTATTTGTATATTTTTATATATTTTGTCATTTTAATGATTTTCTTAAAAGGTGAATTTGAATATAAATAATAGTCGTAATAATACTGTATATATTATGTTAATATTATTATTTGTATATTTTACATATTTTTTCCTATTTTTATAATCTTCTTGAAAGGGGAAGTTGAATTGAATTATTCAACTAATTATTGAATTATTATACAAATTATAATTTTTATGTTTTATTTTATGATATTTTATTTCAGTTAACATTTATTTCAAGTAACAAAAATGTTTTTATGGTTTTAGTTTTAGGTTTAGTGAAATATAATAAACCTGGTTATCATTTATGCATTTGTTCTGAAATAGTATTAGAATATTTGATAATTTTAATGCACCAATATAACAAAACATAAAACAACAGCATTATATCATCTACATATATATATTTACTGCATCTTAATACATAAGAAAACTATGACATAGGCTTTTAAATTGGCCATCAAGTTCAAAGTGTTCATGAAGTCTCTATTACAATTGTTGCTATATTCACAGTGTTGTCTAATTTAATATTGCCAGCTAAATCAATGCAAACATGTCATCCAGTCCTTCCTCAAACTCTAAAATCTAACCAGTTGATTTCATATATTTCCTTTCCTATAACTTCTCTTCATTTCACTGTGTTTGTGAGTGTGTTAGTGAGCTAAAAGAAATAACTGTCACGTGTCAAATGAGGTTTTGTTTCTGAAATGTGTGTGACCTGATCCTTCCCAGCATCCCACAGACACTCGCGCTCCACCAGCGCTCTGACGGCCGCTGGTGTCCTGCAGACAGGTGATTGCACGAGTCCGGGTCACGGCACCAGAATCTAGATCATCAGTGTTTTTAACAGGGCTCATGCTGAACCTGTTCAGAGGTGTATATATCAGTCACATCCAGGTTTAGAGCGAGTTTCAGCTGATTTAGACTCCTGTGTGATGAGCTCAAACACACGGTGGCGCCAGAGACCAGCTCTACATTCATTAATGAAGCTTTAACACTGAATCAAACCAGCTCAGTTTCCCTGGATGTGAACTAGACGCTTGTTTTTCACCTTCATAACTTTTTGTTTCATTTATGCTTGCTATATTTTTGTGCTTTCTTTGTTATTGTGAAATGTGCTTTTTTAAAATTGTTTGTTTAATTTAATTTTGTTTTATTTTTATTTAATTTTATTTATTTTTAGTGGAATATTATGTGAAGTTTTTATTTGTGTGAAAAAATAAATATGTATGTCTCATTTGCCATCATATAATTTTAATATACAGTGGGGACCAAAAGTGTAATAAATTATATTTTGTATTTTTCTAATTTAATTTATTAAAAAATTTCTAATTTAATTTATTAAAAATTACATTATTAAATTACATGCATTATATTTCTTGTCCATTTGACAACATTTATTTATTTATTTATTTATTATTTCAGCCTTCTGATGATATTCATATGCAGATCAATATCAGTTTGTATTAATATTTAAAATTATTTTATATTCTTATATTTTAATTTTAGTTAACATTTTAATAATTTTGTAATGTGTTTTTGTCATTTTTATTAGTTTTTGTTTTTTACTTACATAGTTTTTATTAATTTTTATTCGGTTTTAAATTTAGTTATTTTAGTACATCACGTTAATCTAATTGAAAATTAGAAATTATTTAGCTGAAATAAAATACGTTTTTCTATATTTCATTTTATTTCAGATAATGATTTTTTTGAAGTAACGAAAATGTTTTTAGTTTTAGCTTAATATTTATATTTTAATATTTATGCATTTGTTTTGTAATTGTTTTTATTTATTTATGTAATTCATGCATTCGTTAAAAATCCTAAAACTTTGTTTATTTCTGGGCTTTTTATTTCCAGGGTTGAATAATTAATCATTTGAATTAGATCTGAATCATACATTTTCAGCATTATTTCAGACTGTTGGGCTCCGTTGCATATCTGTGTTTAATTTAGAAAGTTCTGCTGTTGTTTTGACTGATGTTGTTTCATCAGTTTTCTGTCATTTCTTGATTTGTTTTCTTACATGCAGAATTTTGTTTGCATTATTTTCAGTCAAATCAATCTTTGTGGTTGTGTGCTGTGATGCTGATGAATGAAAAGCATGCAGTGACTGTGTTTAGTTTTACTTGACATTGATGTTGCATGTTATGTTATTAATCTCTCTCTCCGTCTCTGTCAGATCGGTTCGGTCTCATCCATCAGGCGCGGATCTCGGCATCTGTAAACGCCATGCGGATCCTGAACACGGGCACGGAGGTGGAGGCGGCCGTGGCAGACGCTCTGGTGAGAATCACGTGCTTAATCTCCAGTCTGTCTGTCATATGTGAGCATATTCCTGATGTGTTTGTCTTTACTTTCCCTCTGCGTTTGTCTGGAAACCTTTCAGCTTTTAGTAGACTCCAGGAATAAGGTAGTAGATTTATGGACACCTGATTGTGTGCATTCTGCTCTCAAAATGTTCATCATCATTTCATTTGATTTGTAGTTTATTTAATGATTCAATCATGCCTGTGGCATTTCATACAAACGTATAATATAAGATGAAAATGTCACAATGCAAAGAAGTCATAACGGTCCTAAAAAATAGCCTTCATTTTCTCCGATAAAAATATTTTCACTAACAGTCAAAAGTTTGGGGTCGGTAAGATTTTTTAATATTTTTGAAAGAAGTCTCTTCTGCTCCTTAACACTAGTACCGCCAGAGGTCGCTGTATACCTAAAAGCGCCAGCGGGTAAATTTTACCCACGCACATGACAACTGTATTTATATGGCTAAAGAACATATTATTTCACTGTATTATGCTACTGTCTTCACAAAGAAGTGTCTAGAGTCATGAAATGATTATGTCTAGTCATCAACTATATTTTTATCCTGTTGTTTTAACTTCAAGACTTTTTAATGCAGGCTACACTAATCCATAACGGTCAGTAGCCTAAGCTAAAAAAAAAAAAAAAGCCTGCACTGATAACGGAAATTAGAAGGTAGTAGCCTAAATATTTGGGTGGTGTAATATTATAACACAATGTCATTAATCAATATATTAAGATAGCCCATGCTATGAGTGACTAAAACAGCCTATAGACAATAATGAGCAACAATAATTCACCACACTGCATAGGATGATGCGATGACAAATTCAAGCGCACAGCTTCACCTAAATATTTATTAATTTGTTTAGTTATATCATTTATAATTTGAATAAGAGAACAACACCATTGAACTTTGGGTAATCAAAAAATGGTTTTATTCATTACATCATAGATCGGATTTTTTTTTCTTTAGGAAACGGCCAGACTAGAATAGCAACACAGTAGCGAAGAAGAAACGACATGGCAAGACAAAAATTAAATAATTAAACCAAAGTTTGACCAATTAGAGTAACGTGAGGCTAAAACATGTAAATATGATATCTGGATCAGATGCTGGGCTGACCCAGGACGCATAACTTACCATCAGACTCTCCATCACTCATGGCATTTAGTGTTTCTAATACCTACCTTCCATAGATCGCCTTTTTTTTAGTCATTTTGACTTTATTTATGAAACTGATAAACGGTAAATCAGTGAGTGAAAGGCATTGCCTAGAAATGTACAATGTTAAAACATAAGCGGCAAGAAAATGACAGCGTGAAAATACATGCATTATATAGGTGAGTAAATTTGACCTGCTGGCGCTTATAGGTATAAATGCCCCGTTTTTTTGATCTGGTTTTACTGAAATAATTTTTAACAACATTGGATTGTAAATTACATAATTTTAGTAAAAGTCAATGACTGGGAGACTTGAATGTTTTATTTTAAATCTGTTATGTACATTTGAAAAACAGCCACGGTTAACATTTCCCAAGTGGAGGTTCTAGTGTTAAAGCTAACTTGTTTTTTGTTAAAAATGATCCAAAATCAATTATTGAGCAAGTACATAACCAGTCAGTGTTCAAAACTATCTCTTTACTTTGTAAACTTGTAAAAATGTTTTCTGTTGGTCTTTGCATTTTTTTTTTTTTTGGACGTGATCCGAGCTAACTTTGCAATCGTTAGATTTACTTTTTATGAGGAGCTGTACCGATGCACAACCCACGTAAAGAAGATAATTCTGCAAATAACTGCAATTGCAGGTTTCAAACAGGATGGCGACAAAGAGGCAAAACTTACAGACTGCAGCTTTAAGGCTGCATTTATTTGATCAAAAATACAGTAAAAATTGTGAAATATTTTTTTTTATTTAGAATAGCTGTTAGCTATGTGAATATATTATAAAATTTAATTTTTTTAATTAATTTAAAGCTGAATTTTCAGCATCATTACTCCAGTCTTCAGTGTCACATGATCTTCAGAAATCATTCTAATATGCTGATTTGCTGCTCAAGAAACATTTATGATTATTATCAATGTTGAAAACAGTTGTGCTGCAGAGTATTTTTGTGGAAACTGATACATTTTTATTTTTCAGGATTCACAGATGAATAGAAAGTTCAAAATAACAGCATTTATTTCAAATAGAAATCTTTTGAAACATTATAAATGTCTTTACTGTCACTTTTAATCAATTTAATGAGTATTTGCTGGCTAAAAGTATTCATTTCTTTACTGACCCCAAGCTTGTAAATGGTAGTGTATGTTTTTACTTATTTCTTTTGATTTTGAGTAGTTTTCCCTGGCCGTGTGATTCACTTACATTCACATGCATGCAATTGTTCAAAAACATCCATGAGCATAAATCCTTTGCATGTCTCTTTTCTGTCAAATCCGTGTTAGTTCCTTTAGATGTTAGTTGCATGCATGGTGGCGTAGTCTGCGTAATATTTGACAGATGTGTGTGTGGTTTATGTAACTCGTGTCTCTGTGCTGTAGCAGAGACCGATGCGCCGGCGCTACGAATCTCCCGGCATGCACTCGGATGACGACGCCAACAGCGACGCATCCAGCGCCTGCTCCGAACGCTCCTTTAGCTCCCGTAACGGCATCGCCCCGCAGCACCTGCGTCAGACGGAGGACATGGCCGAGATCCTGAACCACTGCGCCAGCTCCAACTGGTCCGAGAGGAAAGAGGGGCTGCTGGGACTCCAGAGCCTCCTGAAGAGCCAAAGAGTCCTCAGGTACAGGCGCCAGCAACTACACTGGCTATTAAATAATAATAATAATAATAATAATAATAATAATAATAATAATAATAATAATAATAATAATAATAATAATAATAATAATAATAATAATAATAATAATAATAATAATAATAATAATAATAATAATAATAATTGTAATGTTATAAATATTTATATATAATATTTTATAAAAAAAATTTTGTAATGTTATATACGTTTATATATAATATTTTATTAAATTGTATTTTTAAATGATTAATAATAATTAATAATAATATTTTTAAAATTATTATTATTGTTAAACTCAATGTAGTTGAATTAATAGGATGTGAATTAATTAAAAAATGAATTCCTAAGAGTCCTCAGGTACATTTGGCATCAACTACATTATTTTATATAATAATTTTATTTTAAATATAAATTACTAATATCCGTCTACATCTCTATATCTGTGCAATTTCTTAATTATTCAGTTTGATTATTTCAATTTTTAAATGTATATTGTTTTTTTGTATAACATATCTTGCCCGACCGATAATTCGTTTAGCCGATATTATCGGCCGATATGAGCCTGTCGCCGATATATTGGTATCGGCGAATATGCCGCCGATATGAATTTTTTTTTAAATATATTGTAGTGTAGATGCGCGCATGAGCTCAAACTTCACCCGAGTCTGCTGCTTCAAATAATCCGCCCGCCACCCACCTGCACCTATATTTGGTCGCCACATTACAATGATTCTAATTCTTAGTTTTGCATGATGATATGATGAATGGATGGTTCATTTTTAACAGCAGATTCAGTGACGTTAGTGACTAGAGCTGGTCTGCGCATCACGGCACGCGTCTGTGGCGCATTAAAGGGGTCATATGATGCGATTTCATTTTTTCCTTTCTCTTTGGAGTGTTACAAGCTCTTGGTGCATATAATTTTAACGGTCGCTTTGTGGCGTTCTGCTGCGGCGCGGACACGGTGTCAGCATAGTTTGTCAGTACAGTCAGTAACGTAGCAGATAGTATCTTTCTGCAGTCCAATAGACGGCAGTGCGGTGGTGGCTTGAGTCTGTTGAATGGTGATTTTACGCTACGTTGTCATCTAGTTGGAGAGATTCAATGCTAAGTAAATAAACAACAATGTCCCCGTCTTTTACTCGCACAATGAGTTATCATATTCGTTTGCTACATTAGTAGGGCCCTATGATTTCCGCGATGCAGAAAACATGGATGGAATCGTGGAATCTAGTCATAAAAACGGAATTTACTGTAGGCTTATAACGCGGAATTTCATGGAATTTGTCTTATTTTTGATAAATAAAAAACAGGTCAGTACATATATATATAGACTGCGTCTGTAAATATTAAACTGCAAAAAGACGATTTAAATACGAATGTTCTGCATGTTCATTGGATTACCAGAAAATACACAACACAGAGTTTGTGAAAAAAAAAATTATTAATTATTATTATTTATTCATTTTAGATGTTTACATTTGGAAAAGCTGTGCTTCCTGCATTAACCTGCCCCTGTTGGTTTGGCAGTAGCTTGCTTGCCCTACACAGTTACCTTGTTTAATTTCTTAATTCAAGTTATATATATTTTGTTCTATTTGTGTTAAGTTATTTATAATAAATGAAGTGAAGTTTACTGTTAAGTGCACTGATGTCAGACTCATTTTGAATAATAAAGTTTATTGTTAAATTGTTAAATACCCTGCCTCCATTACATAGGCCTATGTTTGTCACATCATTATGTGTTTGATCACCACATTTGAGTTATCATTGCAAAAAATGTGTTTATGTATATATATTCTGTTTATGTAGGCTATATACTGTATTCTATATACAGTACCAGTCAAAAGTTTGAACACACGAATGGGAAGTGTGTCCAAACATTTGACTATACTGTACTATAATATAGCCTACACATAAAGAATATCGGCCGATATATCGATATCGGTCTTTTTTTACTCCCTAATATCGGTATCGGCATCGGACCCCAAAAAACCCATATCGGTCGGGCTCTAATCTTTATTGAGTTTTTACCCAAATTTTTTTTTATACAAAAACACACCACAACTCAAATATATATTGTTTTAATTTTATTACAAATTTTTATGAAAAAATAAATTCCTAAGAGCCCTCAGGTACATTTGGCATCAAATACACTGGTTACTACGAATAAAAAAAAAGGATATATTTTTATTTAAATATTTTAATTTTAATAAATTAATTGTATTTAAAACATAAATGACTGGACATAAATATCTGTCCAGAATATTTTTTTTAAATAATTTTAATTTGACATATATTTATATAAATATTTTAATTTTAGGAAAATAATTTTATTAAAAAAATTAACAACATCAGCCCAAATTTCTATATCTGTTCACCTTTCTAGTTATTTAGTTTGATCATTTCAATTTTATAAATATACATTGTTTTAATTTTATTACACATTTTTATTAAAATATACATTACTAAATGTCCTCAGGTACATGTGTGACCAATTAACAATTTTATTAAAAAAAAGTAAAATTAATTTCTAATATCTGCAAAAATATCTATATCAGTACACCTTCTTAATCTTCAAGATTCAAGATTTTTATTTGTCACATACATGGCTATATGACAAATAAAAATCTTGAATCTTGAAAATGAAGAAGGTGTACTGATACAGATATTTTTGCAGATATTAGAAATTT